CCCCAAAACCCCAAAACCCCAAATGTTTTATTTTGACAAAAATATGAAATTTACAAAAATATAGACTGATTAAAATGTTTAATAAATTTTTACAATCAATATTCTGGTTCCATCTAATTAAAATGCTTTGACTGAGGACTCTACTTAATTATTATTCTATAAAATCAAATAAATGAGAAAGAGCCTATTTTTAACAATTTTACCTATGATAGGCCTTATTTAGGCTGAAACCTTTGTTCAATCGTTTGGTGCAAATACATTAGAGGCTTTTATGATCAATAATAAAACTTTGAGATTGTTTATGACTGTCCCTATTAATAATTTCTTTGCTGTAGGGTTTGGTTCTTAAATGGTTAACACTGATATGATACTGACTTAGTCTAGAGGAAACCTTAGCACAGCTTACGATTTATGGTCGACAAGACATGGGAGGCCATCCACAGATGAAGTATAAGATATTAAATATGGTTTCATTTGGAATGAAACGCATACCACTTTTTAAATAGATAGAAAAATTGACACAGGTGACACAGCGCAAGACTTCGTTGTAATAGTTGTAAGATTTTTTATAACATTTATCATTTACAAGGGTGAACCTATGTCTATGATTTTTTCTTATCATACTAGCTCGGCAACTCTTACTAAGCATACAAACAAGGGAGGATTTACAATGACTCTGATTCCACCGATTTATAACGCATCAAATCAAGAGAATAATGATTCAAATAAGAGTCTAGGAGAAAATTTCACTATAGGAAATATAACATCAGAGATCTATGGTGCAAATTATGATGAGGCGTCATTTCATAGAATCCATGGATGGATTCTTTGGCTATCATGGGGCCCTTTAGCTTTTATCTAGTTGACAACGACTCGATATATGAAAACCTTTACCTATGGAATTTGGATTCACATGCTTGCAGGATTGCTAAACATGATTGCTACACTAACCCTCGGAATTCTTGCACTTTAATAATCTGATTATGTCATTGATGATAATCCTCATTCATAAATTGGAGTCTCAATCATGGTGATAGTTATTGCTGTAAATTTCACAGGGGTAATAATGCGAATGAGAATTTTCAGAAGATTTAGAATTTATTGGATTCATAAAGTAATGGGGTATTCCATTCTAATTGTAGCTTAAATTTAATTAGTTTTGGGAGTTTTAATGTATTCTCGAAACTACTTAGAATTTAAATCTCCCTTAGGCTTTATTCATGTCGGAATTTTTGGTATGTTCTTGGCTGGCATTGAAATCTATCATCAAATGCGTTTGAGATCTAAAAAAATAGAGATGAAGATGAAGAGTAGGCTAATATCACTCTATCAGTTTAATTAATTAGTAGCTCATGGACGTTAATTTGTGATTCTGGATGATAAAGTTATAGATGTAGAGACATTCTTTGATAATCATCCAGGGGGAAGATCACTGTTAAAGTTAAACATAGGTAGAGATATAACTAAATTCTTTTACGGAGCTTATGAATTCAAGAACATAAATAATGTAGATATCAAGAATTGTCACTCAAGTCTAGGTTATTAATTAGCCACTTAAATGACTGTTGGTAGACTTGAGAACAACTATAATTAGGAATACTTAGTATAACTTATCTATTCCTCTTAATTATTAGGGAAACATACTAAAACTTTCGTTTTTTAAGGTTAGGAATTGAGATCTGGCATGTAAAAATACTATTCTAATATTGGCATGATAGGCCGTCATTTCACTCTATGCAGTTCTAAATAAAGAACATTGAAGAGATAATATTACATATGTAACTGCCTAATGCCTAAAATTTATGAGTAGTATATGCAACTGATTGAAAAATTTTTGAATAATAAGAGTAAGTTACATCTTGACAATTCAATCATTCAAGATGGGGCATCAAATAGAATAGCATTAACTGTAAAAGCAATTTCTAAAAGAAGGGGTCTTTCAAATATGATTTTTTAACGTTAACTAGGGGATAATTTTATTTTAAACGGCCCTTTTGGAAAAGGCCTTGAATTATAATATTCTGGAGTGCATATTGCTTTTACAACAGGATAGGGTTCATTAGCCTATTTAGATTTAGTAGCACATTTGATTAGGAAGAACTTGGATCTCTTAGACAAGGAAGAGGCCAAATAACTCAGTTTTAGTGATTTTAAATTTATCATGATTGTCTGTGTGCCCAATAAGAAACATGCTCTTGGATATCAATTATGCAAAGGACTAGTCTAGATATGTAAGCGCTAAAACAGAGAAAATTTTGAATATAAGCTAAAGAAAATTTAGAATGCAAATCAATTTTGGAATGAAGAATACATTATTTCTGAAATGGATTAATTTAAAGAAGCAGAAAAAATTTGGGTCAATGGTCCAAATAGAATGAATTAGGCGTTTGACATTGCTTTTAAGTAGCTAGCTATTTAGCATTAGTAGTACTAATAAGCTTTTAAATATGAGATATTTTGAAGCAATTAAGCTATGTTATTTGAAATATATATTTAGTTGATTCTAGTAGAAATTTAGAAATTATTTATTTCACATAAATGCTTAAAAGTATTTTAGCTTATGGGGTTTTGGGGTTTTGGGGTTTTGGGG